TACATATCACATTACTATGTACCCGATATATACATATATCTATCACTATGGACCCCATAATATGTACAACTGTTATGTCAATTAAAATTTTTAATTAAAAAAACAAAAACCCTTTAAATATTAACCTAAATATTTTTTTCAAATCTCTTTAATATCTGTCTTAATTGAGGACACCCTAAGTCTTATATTTGCTTCTGTATTCAATCTGCTGTGATATGTTGCTTTGATTAAAAAATATGAAAATTTAGTCTTATCCAGATTTATAGGTAAAAGGGGGAGAGTATTTTAATAGCTTTTTAGATAACTGTGGATATTCTTCTGTGGCACTACATCAGAAATTGCTAAGTGGTGGTTTCTTAAAAGTTAGTTGCAATGGAATCTGAAACCATTACCAACAAATGTTTTGTATTGAGTTACATTAAAACCCCTTAGTCTAACTATAAATGGACCTCATTTCACAATTCTGTCCATGCATCAGGCTATTTGGAAATGACTGAGGTATGCAGATTCTCCAAATGTTAACATATTTCATTATATAATATTTTTAAAAACTCATGTTAATTCCACCAACAATCTCATTAGAAAAACGTTTAAGTGTTTAGGAAACTGTCAAGGTCCTGGTGGAAAACACAAGTTTAAAAAAATTCTTATTAAAAAATTCTTACTTTTGCTCAAAAGCATGAATTTTTATCACTGACAACAAATACAGTTGCTTGTTTTCCTTGAACTAATAGGTTTGCTATGTTCATTCTTAAGAAATTATCTGCCAAACACTCAAGGTTGAATAACCCCAACTGGTCTGTTAGTTGTTCTTTGGAGGTAGCCTATGAAAGAGAGGGCTAGCTCAAACTTTGTAACTCAAACTATTTCACAAGTGTTTTTCTTTGAGATAACCATCATACTTCGGCATGCAGGAGAAGTACTCTATGTGTACTTCTCACTTTATCATAGAGAATTAAAAAAAAACAAAACACAAGCACTCAAGGATTGAGATTTAATAAAAATTCCAAGGACATACTAAAGTGAATTGGATTTTTTAAAAAAATTCCTACTATAATATGGTACCAGGGTTTTGATTTGTGCTAAGTTTCACCCACTTCTGATTATTCTGCACCATCAGTGCAAAACACAGTAAAAAAAGACAACTCTCTTACTATAATTATGAAAACAGTGAACTTTGCATGATCACTATTTGACCTTACGTTGTCCATACTTTAAGAGCCATTTGTGTATTTTTTAAATTAAATTAAAAAAAAATTTCAAATGACAAGTAATTCTATTTATGGGGTACAATGTGATATTTTCAGATATGTATATATTGTAGAAAGAATAAAAAAAGCTAACATATCCGGGCGGTACCTGTGGCTCAAAGGAGTAGGGTGCCAGCCCCATATGCTGGAGGTGGTGTGTTCAAACCCAGCCCTGGCCAAAAATTGCAAAAAAAAAAAAAAAAAAAGCTAACATATCCATCACCTCATCTACTTATTGAGAAATTTAAAATCTATTCTTTTAGCAATTTTGAAATATGTAATGTACTACTTTTAATTACAGTCACATGCTGTACAATAGATCACTAAAACTTACTTCTCCTTTCTAACTGAAATTTTGTACCCTTTGACCAACATGTCCTCATTCTCTGCCCACCCCAATCCTAGCCTCCAGTAACTACCATTCTAGTTCCCCCTGTAAATGCAAAATTGCATGCACTGAACAATCATTATCTTTCAGACTAGCCACATGTCCTGTTTCTATTCTCCATCATTCTCATCTCTGTGAGTCTGCATATATTGTTCCTGTCTTTTCCAACCAGCTGGCAAAATCCTTTTTATCTTTTAAGATCTGGTTTGGGGAAGAGGGAGAGGGATTGGCGTGGTCCCACTTAGTGGGCACAATGTAAGTGTATATGGAAATCTCTTGGGTGAGGGACCCAACTAGAAGAAGGACTCTACCTAACAAATACAAACATTGTAAACTAGTTGTTTGTGCCCTCACATCAATCTGAGATTAAAAAAAAAAAAAAAAAGATCTACTTTGTATTTCATTCTTGAGAAGTTTGTGTTAAGCTGATTTATTTAATTACTCTGTCTTTTGTGGTTCTGATTCTGCACATTGTTTTAAAATCTATCACACTGAGGGGAAGAGGAGCTACTAACATTTTAAAGTACCCAGTATGTGCCAGACCCTGTGCTAAGTTTTTTATATGTTTTGTAATTTAATTTTCAAATTAATTCCATGTAATAGGTATCATTACAGCACTGAAAACTAAAACTGAAGTCAAACCAAGGCCCTTTATTGTTTCAGCATAATCTTTCATCCTATTTGTTCCAGGGCCTATGGCCCAGTTAAAATATTCAATTTGTATCTTCAGAACAGTCAAATAAATGAACTTAGTAACTAATCCCATTATAAAAGGCTTTATAAAGTCCTGCACCTTTCAGAGCCTGAGGTCTGGGCTTCAGTACAGTATTTTTTCTTTCTTCATTCTTCATATACAGCTTAGGTTTGAAATCTTCATTTGCTTATAGAAAAACTATTTTCATTTCATTCAGCATGTGTTCCCAGCCGTGGGATGGTAATTTAATGATCACACTGCTATGAAGCCAGAAACACAAATGTTGACATTTGATAGTAATGTTTTTCCTTTCAAAGTTGCTTCAAGTAAATACCAATGGTATATCCAAGTAAATGAGGTAATTATTAAAAATGCAAATGGTATGTATGTGTATTCATGTTTTAAAGTTTAAAATTTAAACTTTTCAAATAGTTAAAAACATTATTGAATACCTCTTTTTCTACCTAGTCCTAATGTGTTTCAAAGAAAAACTTAATACTTCAATCACAGCTTTCTTAGACAACAGAATGGATTTTTGGCTGAGACCAGTTGTACTGAAGTGTAGCCTGAGGATCAGCAGCATCAGCCCTGCTGGGAACTTGTTGGAATTGTGAATTATCAGTCCCTACCTTGAACTTCCTGAATTAGAAACTCTGGGGTGGGGTCTAACAATTTGTGTTTTAACAGCCCTATGTTGATCACAAAATGGTCAAATGTGAGAACCAATGAAGCAAATCAACTGTGCTGTTTGGATTCACGAACTTACATATAAAAAAATTAATAACTTTTAGAAGCTATGACTGGCCTAGGAATAAACAAATCTGTGAAAATATAAGCAGTATAGTAAGGGGTCTGCCATGCCCAGGGGTGCCAGGGGTGGGCTTCCCTTAAGCTAACATATAGTGGTATGCAGCCAAAGGAGAGAGTTTCATTCCACAGAAAAGAGGCGGAATAATTTCTTGGTTCTACCTTCCAGCATGGGGATAAATACACCACAGCCATACTTAATTAGGTAAAGGCATTTATTGAACTATAAAAACTGTCTGCCATTCCCTCCTAGGTAACTCCAACCAAGCGCTATTTAAATTGCCTCTTTTCTAAATAAAACAGTAATCTGCAGTACATGCATTTTATTACTACTGGAGTACAACATTCTGTCACTGAGTACATTACCATGGAATATAACATTCAACTACCAATGACTAGCCTACTCTTTTTCTATGAATATATTACCACTATTCTAGTTGCTTTACTGTTACATGGATTTAAGGAAAACAGGGACTTGCTTATATTTTAACAATTAATTTGGAGGTATGTAAAAAGCTTATTTTAGTAAAGAATATATATATAAAACTTCCTAGCATTTTTTCTAGGAAAAGTGAAGGCAGTAAGTGTTCACTTTGTTTTTTATTATACTTTTCTGAAGAAAAACTGGTGAGAGAATTTGCCCCATCAGAATTGCCATGTTCTTGAGAGAAGTGGCCGGGCCAGGTAGAGAAGGTTTATTGTAAATCAGGAGGGAGAAGGACTCAGAATCAAATTGAGGTCTCAGGTCGTATCTTGTTTAAAAATAAAAAGGACAGGAAATATAAGGACATCATCTTATTCGTCACAAACTTTGATAAGAAAAGTTCCTAGTTTTTATTGGTAGTTAATTAATTTTATTTATAATACAAATGAGAAAGAACTTAGCCTTCCTAAACACAAATGCTTACATGAATCATTACAAGTGAAATTATAGCAATTTTGTTTGATCTAGTGTTCATTAACAATGCAATATTATAGGAAGAATACAAATTAGGGTTTGAATTCCAGCTCTAACAAGTACTAGCTTTGTGGCTATAGCCAATTGTTAATGTCTGTAATTTTCAGTTTCCTCATCTGAAGAATACAGCCAATGTATAAGGTTTTATAAGGATCTGAGATAAATATTTGTCATATGCTTTACCCAGAGTAAGTGACCAGTAAATGCTTATTAAGGTGTTAAAGAAAACTAATGTCTAGAGAATATTAGTTTTGATGTGAGTACATAATCTCCCTAGCTGAACTGAGGATTAGAATGCTGGATCTCAATCTCAACAACCAACTTCTACTATTTCACTTCCATGTTAAATAACTATAAACTGTGTGCTCCTTGCTTATTTTTTCCAGAACACTTAGAAGGAGGACAGAAAAAGACAGCAATAAAAAACTGGATATTCCTTTAAAATAAGTAATACATATAGACATAAACATCTTGGTAAAAGCCAAGAAGGGATGATTGAAGAGTTTTATTTCATTTACAGAGAAGAAATGTTATTTCATTTATAATGTGGGAAAGAACATTCATTCATTTGGTCTTGTTTCTTCCTCATGTTATTACAGCATTTCAAAACAACATATTGTTTATTGCTATTAAGGTGTTACAGATTTGCTTTTCTAAGTGAAAGCCCTTCTGCACTCACCAGAGGCTTCTTTAGCCAAAGATCCAGGGCTATAAACCTTGTTCAGTGCAGTAAGATCACTTTAATACTATTCTAATCTTGGAATGAAGTTATAAAGATAGATGATAGCCACAGAGTGCTACTTACAAACATGGCTCTTATGTAATCCTTAAATATATAAAAAACTTAGCATCTGAAAATATATTTTAAACAATTCCTATATGCTGCCAGTCTATTTTACATACCTGAGAATATTTTTAGTAATCTGTGATGGAGAAGAATGGCTCCTTTTCTTCTTCTCTGAATCCTGCAGTAATGTACTCTCTGTTCTATCCTTCTCCACGACTGTTGCCTGGTCTGCTCCAGCCTTGCTCTGATCCACATTGAGCTGGCTTTGGGCAGGGTCACACCTGTACATGAAGACAATGGCTGGTTTCTCACTGGACTCTCCTTTTGCCTCTGTGAACCAGTGATGCCGCTGAACTGGAGGAGGAGGCAGCATGTGGATGACTGTGCCATCCAGGCCCACCAGTTTCCCTTTCTCCCGCTCTTTCTCTTTGTCATCCTCTTCATCTGTTTTCCGACGGCGGAAGAAGCTTTTAAATGATATCCATCGCTTAGGCTTAGCATCAGCTGCACGCCTGCTTCCTTCAGAATGCAAAACTGATTCAGCTTCCGTTGATCTGGCAGGGCTGGCTGGCTTGGTCCAGTTGGTGAAATGCTTCTGCAGAAGGTTCCCTGCATGGTAAGGGGAGGAGGTAGAGCGTGGTGGGGGAAAGGGAGGTGGTGTCTCACTTTGGAGGCCAGTCACCAATTTAGAGGGAGGGGATGTGACTGGCTTTGTGAATGGATCTTTCTGTACTTTGGGAGTGGGACTTTCTGTGGTCTGAGGTACTTCAGCCTCACCACTAGACTGAGATGTGAAGAGAGATTTGGGCCGAACTGGTGTACTCTTCGGTGTACTTTTAGCAGCATCGGCATCTGGAGGAACAGCATAAAGTTCTTCCACGCTGCAGACTTTAGGGCCAGAGAGAGGTGTTTCTGGAGGAGATTGTGGGGGCTGGATGGAAGCCACAATCTGAGAAAGCACTGTGCTTGCTTTCTCCCTGGTGCTGCTGCTGCCACCACTTCCCACCATCTGAGACTCCTGACTGCTATCTGTTTTGGCCATAGGCTCTTGAGTGGTTTTCTGCATCTTTGCTGGGGAGCTGTGGCTGGAACCATAGCTTCTCTGTGGTGAAGACTGACTTCTGTTGAGACAGTTGTTGAACTCTTGAACTTTCTGTGCCACTGAGCCCCTTTTCCGCTCTGTGCTATTTGAAACCCCTTTAGCTTGGGGACATTCAGTGGGTTTGCTAGGGGTGTTATCAGACACTTTGCTTTCAGTTTCTATTTCTTCGTAAGTATGACTTATTATACTTGTGGTTTTCTCCTTCACCGAGAGTTCTCCACTTGTTCCCAGGAAACTTTTGTAGATGGCTAGATTGTCATATGCATTTGGATTGATAACAATGGGAACTTTAATAGCATTTTTGGAACTCCGAGCATAAGTCGGCTCATCATGAATGATAATTGGAAAAGGCGGCATACCAGCATTGTTGTAACTATTAAATTTTATTTCAGACAAATTAGGTGACTTAACGGGAATGGTTTTGGAGGAAATATTTGTGGCTGTGGGTGAAGTAGGTGCTGATTTGTGACAGTTTTTTCTTGGAGGGACATTTGGTCCAGTTTTACCAGTAATTAATTCCACTTTAGGTATCTTTTGTCGTGGACTGGTGCTAGAAGTCCATACTTCCTGGTATCGGATTGCGCTAGATTTTTGGAAATGGGCACTTATTTGTCCTGGAGTCAGTGCAGGTGATGTCACTGGAGAGTTTGGAGTAGAAGATGAGCTTTTTGTTCTGGGGCTGTTAACAGGGCCTTCAAGGTGCTCACTGGCCATGGCTGCTGACACATCCACGACAGTATATGGTTTGCACAATGGCTGTTCCAGATTCACAACTCGGTAGGGCTTTGCTTGCTCTTCTACAGGGATGAGGTTTATGGTTACTGCTTGTCCAGCAATATCTGTAGACGTTTTACTTTCCTGCTTCTCAGTTTGTACAGCAATTTTGCCATCCTTTTCTTCTAATCGGAGAGCAAGGACTGCTTTGTGTGTCTCTGGAACTTTTACTGAGTTTTTGGACGCTTGTGATGAGTCCTTCTCCTGATTACTAGAGAGACTTTCATAATTGGGCTCAACCTCCTTCTTGTCCTTAGAATCTCCTGGGTTGCCAGGAGGCATCCCCCCATTGCAAATCTTCTGGGATAAACTACTGGCTGTCTCAGAACGTGACTCTTCTGTTAAAGAAGAGTCTGGTGATGTAGAGTCAGATGACATCATGCTCTGAATGCTTCCTTGTCCATAAGAGACCACAGAATTGTCCTCATAACCGTTTAGGATTTCATCATAGCTGTCATCATAGTCTACAGCACAGATTCTCTGCAGAGATTTATTTCTCAGGGGGACGGTATTCCACTTTTTGTCCACAAAGAATCGAACAGGAGACAAAGTGTTTGCCCTAAAGTTGGCAAAGCGAGGTTGTCCTCTCATGCGAATCTCCATGGCCAATAGCTCTTCATCACTCTCATCCCAGCTCTCATGCTCCTCCTCCATGTTACTGAAAAGTACATCCTCCTCACTCTCCTCGCCACTAGAAAACTCTGGGTAACAGAACCTGCCCCCTTCATTACTGATCACTTCTGTGCTCCCACTGAGAATAACATGCTTGCCCTGAGTATCTTTTATCCCGCCTATCATGCAACTTGGTGGAAGCTTTCTTTCCAGTGATCGTTTATAGCAATCATTTATTCTTCCTAGGAATGTTTCCCTGGAGTTTGTTTCATTTTCTCTTATCTGAGGGGTGGTATCCAAGCCTGCTATCTCCTTTAACACTTCAGTTAGTCCATTATTGTTATTTGATATCTTCTTTGCACTATCATTATTGCCATAAAGCTTAGGAACATGGCTAAATCCTTCAACATCATCTTCATTATTATTGTTGAGTGGTTTCTGAGTCAAAGCAGTTCTGTTTCGGTTCCACCCTATGATGACAGGTTTGTTCTCACAGTGTTCTTGGATGCTAAGCTCACCACATACACTTTGTCCATCTGCCACCATCATAGTGGGTTTCACAGCTATAGTGGGTTTTTTAGCCACAGGAGGCCGGAAATTTCCGGTGTTCCTGATGCGGTGGTTGTTACTGTGATTGGCATTAGTTTTCACATTGCCATGGGTGATGGGTGCCTTCTCAGAATCTGGGGGAAGCTGGTGCAAACTTTTAGGTTTAAAGCAATTCTTGCATTCACCAGGTTTCCAAACGTGTTCAGTAAAGGTGTTACACGCAGACATTTTTAAAAATAGAACTTCACAGACAATGCTTTTCTTTCAGTGCATGACAAAATTTCCATCCATTAATTTTCACCTCCCCTGTGTGTTTATAGCAGCTCTTCTAAGTATGATCAACCTGTAGGGGGAAAAGAAGAGAAAAAAAATCTGAATGAAAAGTTACTATGAAGTTTACCATTATGAGTGACTTGAAAAAACTAGCTTTATTCCCAAACTTTTCCTTAAATTAAAAGACTGAGAGATAACCTAATTTGGATACTTCATAATTTCCCTTTAACCAATCAGCACCTTGGAAAGTTAGCCCTTTAACCTTAATTTTATGCACTCTTACCAAACCATATATAATCCTCAGCTTGCTATCTCTGTGGCAATGATACTGTGACCTTCCCTTCCTGGAAATGCCTTTGATATTGCTCTTTTTGTTATCAACCAATCTCTCTAATGCTTCTTAGGCCACTGTAAGTTCCTCTTCTTCCACCTACCCTTGAAATTTTAGATATCTCATAGACTCCTTAAACTCAATGCATTCAAAATGAATCCTCTGGCTAGCCCCCTTTTAACTCCCAGAAACTTATCTCCTCTAGCCAGCTCTCCTCCACACCACAGGCCACCTTCTTAATTTTCCTTATCCTATATTTTAATGCCATCACCATCTACCTAGATAGCTAATCTCAATCTAAAGATCATTCTTGACACCTCTCCCCCTACTTCTAACTCCAAATCTTACTAACTCCCTAAGTTGGTTTTGTCAATTTTATCTCATTACATTTCACTAGAAACCATTCCTGCCAATACTAGATATTGCTACTAGTTCAAATACTCACTATCTCTTACTTAGATTACTTACTGCAATGGTTGAAAAGTGTTATCTATGCCTAAGGTCTCAGTTCCATTCCAATCCATCCTCTATATCTTTGCTACTCAAAGTGTGTTTCTCAGATAAAGATAACTTGTTAGAAACTTCACTTATCTTAGGTCCAACCCCAGACCTATTACATCAGAATTTGTATTTTAATGCGATTCTTAGGTGATTCCACTGTTCTATACCTCTACCAGATTTAACTTTTTTTTTTTTTTTTTGAGACAGAGTCTCACTCTGTTACCCTTGGTAGAGTACCATGATGTCACAGCTCACAGCAACCTCCAACTCTTGGGCTTAAGCGATTCTCTTGCCTCAGCCTCCTGAGTAGCTAGCTGGTACTATAGGCGACTGCCACAACGCCCGGCAATTTTTTTGTTGCAGTTGCCACTGCTGTTTTAGCTGGCTGGGGCTGGGTTTGAACCTGCCACCCTCGGTATATGGGACCTATCCACTGAACCATAGGCACCACCCCAGATTTAACTTTTTAAAATGTTAATACGATTTCTTATTAATGAGCTTAAAAACTATTCCTTTGCTCTTACCTAATGTATTGGCTTTTAAATGTCAATATGCAGCCTGGGGATTGCTAGCTAAATAAGAGCCACCTGGGGAACAACTTTAGACCTGCCTAGTCAATCTTTGGGGGAAGAATCCAGGAATCTGAATTTTTAACAAGTTTTCTGGAGTATATGTAATGAGGTGTTAGAACCTCTGATAATGGAATCCAAGCTTCACATTTCATAATATGGTTCTTCCTTTCCTTCTAGTCTTGAGTCTTGAAAATCAACTAGTCTCATCATACTCTAAATCCCCTGGTGCTCATTCCTCATGGGTACCAGCAAATCCTTTAGACATACCTCCTTGAACAAGTGCTTTCATTTTTAGTTATCTGTTTCCCCACTAGTTTTTGAGCTCCTTTATGGCAAGAGGTATATCTTATGCATGTCTGTATGTCTAGCATAAGGAGCTGAATAAATGTTAGTTGATCAAATTTGCTGGTTTCAAGGTTTATTTAAAACAATAAATCTTGTGGCACTCTCCCTTATCTTAGGCACATAGCTGCAGACCTTCCCACAGAACACCACTACAAGTCCTATGTTTTTACTTTCCATATTGTAATAAAGTTGGTAGTAAGCTTATGTAAGAACTATTTTAATAGCTGGAAAGTTTAACTTTATTCATGTACAATAACAGTGACAGAATCCTTACTTTGGTCAGAAATCCAGCCTTTTGGCCAACTTTTAATGTTTTTATGCAATGAAAATATTTTCTTTAATATATACAAAGTAAAGTCCCTCATAAACAATACTTACAAAGCACTCTGCCTTAGTGGAAGAAGTACAGATGTTAGGACCACAGAAGTTCACAGAGAGAGGTCACTGACCCAATAAGGTTAAAATACATTCTTTGAAGGCTGGTGTGGTGGTTCACCCCTGTAATCCTAGCACTCTGAGAAGGTGAGGTATATTGTTTGAGCTCAAGAGTTCAAGATCAGTTTGAGCAAGAGCAAGACCCTATGTCTACCAAAAACAGAAAAAATAGTCAGACATTGTGGCAGGTGCCTGTAGTTCCACCTGAGGCAAGAGGATTGCTTGAGCTCAAGAGTTTGAGGTTTCTGTGAGCTATGATGCTACAGCACTCTACAGAGGGCAACAAAGTGAGACTCTGTCTCAAAAAAAAAGTTCTTTGAGTGTTTGAAAACATTTATTTATTCTTTCAGATACTCTAAAAGTTATATCCCTTTGTTGATAAAACCATTTCCTATTAGTCTAAGACTTGAAACTTATGAGGTAGGGGGGAAGAATAGCATAAAATTAAGCTGAAAAGGAGAGCAGGGGCCAAGTCACCCAGGGCCTTTTAGTCTTTTAACGATTATACAGTTTATCCTAAGAGCACTGGGAAACCACTGAAGGGTTTTGAACATGGGAAACAATATAATCCAATTTGCGTTTTAAAAAGACAGCTCTTACCAACACACATGAAATACCTAGCTATATAAATCTAATCAAATATGTGTAAAATCTAAATTCTAGGAAAAACTACAAAACACTTATGGATGAGGAGAGGCAGAAGAGAGAAGGTAGGTAAGTAAATTATAGCCTATAGGTCAAATCTAGCTTATACTTGTTTTTGTATCTGAAGCTAAGGATGCTTTTTATATTTTTAAATGAAAAAAAATCAAAAGCAGAATATTTTGTGATAAGTGAAAATTATATGAAATTCAAATTTCAGTGATCACAAATAATGCTCTATTGCAACACAGGTCATACTCATTTGTTTACATATTGCCTATGGTGTCTTTTGTGCTAAAACAGAGACATAGCAGCTATGCCAGAGATTGTATGTAGCAACTGTTACTGCTCTGCAGTGATTTTGGCCTTCTACAAATTGCAGGGTTTCCATTGGTACATGTATCACCTAGGTGAAAAGACATTTTTCAAAAATAAAATATGTACAATTTAATTACAGATATGAACTTGTAGATGAATACTTGTAATTGATTTTACTGGGCGGAAACACCAACTTTTGAACACAATTTCTTCTCCCAAGAAAGAATTCCATTCTTCTTACCAGTAGACCACCTGTGTAACAAAATATTGTGGGCAGTGCTTGTGGCTCAAAGGAGTAGGGAACTAGCCCCATATACCAGAGGTGGCAGGTTTAAACCCAGCCCCAGCCAAAAAAACAAAAACTATATATATATATATATATACACACACACACACACACATATATAAATATATATATGTGTATATATATGCATATATAGTGCTTAATTATATTTTGAATTTTATAAAAACATTATAAAAATTTGTGTTTTCTTTTGTTATTACCTAAATATTATCTTTTACTTTGTCCAAATTTTGCCTAAAAAACATAAAATATTTTCTATTTGGTCCTTTACAGAAAAGGTTTCTGACCTCCGACATAGATCAAAGCAAAAGAGAGACTAGAGTCCAGAAACAGATCCACATAAGTATAGTCAGCTGATTTTTGACAAAAGTGAAAAAGACAGTCTTTTCAACAATGGGGTTGGAAAAATTGTATATCCAAAGGCAACAAATGAGACTTAATCTAGTCCTCACACTATACACAAAAGTTAATGCAAAACAGATCATAGACCTAAGTATAAAATATAAAGCTATAAAACTTTTAGACAAAACCACAGAATAAAATCTTTGCAATCTTGGCTCAGTGTTTATAGCTCAAGCAGTTAGGGCTCCAGCCATATACACCGGAGCTGGTGGGTTCGAATCCAGCCCTGGTCTGCCAAACAGCAATGACAACTACAACCAAAAAATAGCTGGGCACTGTGGTAGGTGCCTGTAGGCCCAGCTACTTGGGAGATTGAGGCAAGAGAATGGCGTAAGCCCAAGAGTTGGAGGTTGCTGTGAGCTGTGACGCCACAGCACTCTTCCGAGGGTGACAGCTTGAGACTCTGTCTCAAAAAAAAAAAAAAAAAAGAAAAAGGAAATCTTTGCAATCTTAAGTTAGGCAAAGAGTTCTGAGATACAACACCAAAAGCATTATTTATAAAAAAACAAAATAAATTTGGAGTTCATCAAAATTAAAAATATTTGCTCTGCCAAAGATACCAGAGAATGAAGATAAACCACAGAAGAGAAATGTTTTGCAAAGCACATACACCAGAATTTCTATAGAGGACCACCACACTACATTGACCACCTCTTTAAGGTGGCCTAATTTTCATAGACTGTACATGTACTACATGTATGTATCAGTACCATAGCCTAGTTCCTTATGTTGATCATATCCATATATTGACCAGTTGACATAAAAAAAAAAACCTTCAAAACTCAAAAAAAAAAAAAAAAAGAAAAACCAAGTAAAATGTTTGCAGACATTACAAAGATAGACAGATTACATATAAATACGTATGAAAGACTCTAAATATCATTAGTCACGCAGAATTGCAAATTAATATTATGAGCTATCACTACGTGTTTAAAATAAAATTAAAATACAAACAAAAACTGGTATTAGTGGAGATTTTGAGCAATTGGAACTCTCATATATTGTTGGTGGCAAGGCAATGGTTCATGCACTTCAGAATACAATTCGGTAGTTTCTTATAAAGTTAATCATAAACTTAACCTTGGAACCCAGCAATCCTACTCTTAGGTGTTTACTCAAGATAAATGAAAACGTTTTTTTACAGTAAAATTGACATATGTAGATTTATAGTCAAAAACTAGAAATAATCAGTTGTGTGGTGGTTACATAACTGCATGCAT